TGAATTTCAAGTATGTATAGGCTCATATGATTCATTTTTTAACTGGACTGTACATAAATGCAATAACTTCAATAAAATATTCGGCAACCCTTACGACTGTCACCTGTTTCTTTCTGTTGAGTCCAGGGTAGATTTGAGCAGAATAACGGCATTTGTGAAGTGAAGAACTGGTTTCACTGTTCCACCAAATCACCATGGACGGATATGGCGTTCAATAACACGTGCATGCAACTACAGGAGCAACTGGTCGGACTTCAGCTGTCCAGTCAACAGTTTCACTGGTATTCCAGTGAATATCTGGTGTATCCAGAGAAGCAGCAATTCAAGTGGGTTCAACAATAACTGCAACAGCCTCTTTGGCAGCTTGTTCTTTTTTTATCTGCCTCTTCAGGTTCTCTGTAGAAGAATAGATCGACTACAACCTCCCACTTGGTATCGCGTTGAATAGTTCCTCGAAGAAGGACCTCATGAGCCAATAGCTACCAGAGAAGACCAATACTGTGTGGAGACTTTTTGTTGCCAGAAATAGCAATATCAACAAATCTCAAAGGAGAATCGGTATTGCACAAAGTAAACTGAAATGTTGACATGAGAAGCTTCAATAAAAAGCTGATGATGAAAGGCTGGATCAATAACAATCAATAAACGAGGTTGCTTGGATGCAACTTGATTCTGATTAGTGAACGCACCAGTAGTGAATCTTAATGCAATGGGAGTAGCTCCAGTATGTGCAGCAAATTGGAGAACAGCACATTGTTCATAAGGACGAGATGAAATGACAAACACTTCCTCAGGGTGTCCAGTCCACTGGTTCAGTTAACGATCGATCAATACCCGTACCGTGCCGCGGCAATGGAATTAATTACGGGAGTGACCTCTCTGGACCTGTACGTTAAGGAGGTTGCGGTAATGGCCATGGTACGATTGCGCACAGCTGGTGTGAACCTCGGAGTAGGAATGGGTCAATTGAGGCTGGGCCTATGGCGAGAAGCGCTTACTGCGCAACCTCTGCTGCAGGCAATCAGTGATGCAATTGAACCCAGGTTTGTTTTCAATAAACCCTATAAAATACAAATTAAACAGAACACCGTGTCAGATGCTACAAATGCAATACGCATATATACAGACGGCTCAAAAACTAAAGGAGGCTCAGGATGTGGAGTGTACTTCAGATCACTAAGCCTTAAGATTGAGTGGGAAATGGAAAGAAATACTAGCGTGGTCCAAACAGCATTGGCTGGTATCTCAACCGCCACAAAAGAAATAACCAGGGAAGGAAATTCTGGCAAAAACATAACAATCATCACTGACAGCAAACAAGCACTATAAGCCTTGAACCGACAACGTGTCACCACAGGGCTAGGGCTAGAGTGCCACCAAGATTTAGCCAAAGCCTCGGTAGATAATAACATTATCCTGAGTTGGGTTAAAGGGCACGACAGGAGTGAAGGTAATCGCATTGCCGACTCTTCAGCTGAGGAAGCGTCTGGACTAAGAATTTTAGGACCCAGTGGCACCTACGGCCTGATGACTTTGACAATTGCGGAACTAGCCAAATGTTACGCCCATGCTCAATCTTTGGAAGGATGGGATGGAATCAAAGGTGTAATCTTACCAGGACCTTGGGCGACCTTGGGAAGCTGGCGCCGAAGAAATATCTGCCAATGGCCAGGAAAAATCTACGCTTAACAGTAGGATTTCTGACTGGCCACTGTCAACTAAGGAAACACCTCCATTATATGGGGCTAGTGGACACACCTCTATGCAGGATGTGTGAATAGAAAGATAAGACTGTCAGGCATGTCCTATGTGAGTGCCCGGAGTTATCGTCAATAAGAGAAAAGGAAATAAGTTTCTGCTTTCTACTCCATTTTCACAAAAACATATGTGAAAATTTTCCAAAGAGAGAAAAAATCCATTGATTTTAACTTGAGTTCTTCACAAATATGTGTAGATCATGCCAAGAAGTAACTTTCAGACCCAAACTGGAGAAGTAATGAGCTGAAACGTTTTTTTTTTTCGAAAAATGCTTCTTTATGAAAATATAACCCTTTCAATAATTCAAATACAAGTAAGAATCCTATCGCTGAGATCGAATCAAATAGGTGAATGTTAGTCATAAGTAATATGAAGTCATAATTTCATGAATGAATTGAGTCCTTCATATTGTGATGTTATTCAGATTGTTGCTGGAGCGTCAATAAGACAAATGTCTCATTTGGAAACATTGGATTTTTGCTGTTGCATGTAATTGAAATTTTACCTCTTTCAAATACTGTATACTTGTGAATATCTGATTCAATTCAATAACGAATGTTTGGAGTTCAATCTGAATAGGAAATAGTGGAGACGAAGAAAGCCCCAAATTATTATTATCATTGAAACTACTGAAAGGAATTTCCAAGGTATATTCAACTCGTCAGCGTGAACAAACGAAATGTCAATTCGCTAACACAATCAAAACACAGCAATCAGTCAAAAACGTCTGCTAATTATACTCCGAATTCGGATACATTTATTAAATCAGTTAACCGGCTATAGCATGCCAGATCGACGTTGAGTTGAAAGGGGAACGAAGACAAATTATACCCCGTCTATTTCCGAAACGTTTAATGAAAATGGTCAGATGGTTTCAATTTAATTGCCTCTGCAATGTATCATAAGATTATTGAGAAAAGGGGAGAGTTGGTGAAAATGGGGTTGAAAAGTAAACCTGAAAAACAGAGTGTATCATTTCAAAACAATTATTGCGTGACGGTATTGATCGTCGAGCTGAATCGTAATATTGACAAACCGTTGAATGGATGAGCTATGGATTTTCCAAAAGGTGTTTCTTTTTTCCAGAACAGATGCAAGCATTGTCTCGACCAACAACAAAGAAGAAGAAACAAAAAATTGCGTTTATATCATTTCTTTCTAACACACAGCTAGTTACACATTATATATCGATGCAAATATTGCTCTTTCATCCAACCAGAAATAGCTAACTCATATTAATACAAACTATTTTGCAATCAACTTGATGAAAAGAATAAAGAAGAAACGAAAAAAGTAAAGTCAGGTGAAAAGTAGGAAAGAGAGGTTAAAAACGAATAAATGAGAATTTGACATCTCAAGTGTGGAAAACATTCAGCTGTCGACACTATTCCTTACACCGTAGTTTGGATAGGCTGGTCCACGGTGGCATGTTTCGCAAAGACTTTTGGGGAGTTTTAGATCCCCTTACCATACTTATTTCTGCCACTGAGTCCGGTGATTTCATCCGTAAGGAAACATATTGGCTTCCCGGACAGAGACCCTAGTCCCTCAGCCGTTTCTCTACAAGCCACCAGGGGACGCGCCCGATAGATAGCCCAATCCACGAGAAGCGTACGATGTTATAATTGTATAGTTAAATACATAATCAAATATCTTTTGACTGCACCTAAACATAAAACCTATCTTTTATGAGGCTTTTTTTCTCATAAGCAAGCGTACGAAGTTATAAGAAAAAGAGCCTCGAAAAAAAGAGGTTTTATGTTAAGGTGCAGTCAGAAGATGTTTGGTTGTGTGTTAAACTGTACGATGGCTTCCTCAAAAGTGTTTATGCTTACATTTCATCCTAATTAGTAAATCACTTCAAAGTGATAGATTGATGAATATTACTGGAGTTTTTTCCCAACACCCACCGTTATTTTAACATCTCGACACGTGTTTTGATCACCAAGTGATCACCAAGTGTTGAAATAATGGTTTGGTGTTGGGAAAAACTCCAGTAATATTAATTACTACACCAAAGGTTCCAAACAGTGCATCACAAAATGATAGATTGATAGCGAATATCTACAAGCGAATTTCAAGAATAACAATGTCTTTTTTTTCAGGTACCATGGCGCTGAAAGAGGTATCTGTGACAATACCGATGGCAGTGAAGATAATGGACACGGTTACGCTTCACTGTAAATACGATCTTGAAGGAGAACCGCTGTACACTGTCAAGTGGTACAAAGGTACCAAAGAATTCTACAGGTATATCCCTAAGGAGCTACCGAATACCCAGATGTTCCCTTTGCCTGGTATAGATGTCGACGTGAGTATTGAAAACTGGTGTAAGGAAATTAGTCCAATTGATGAAGTAATATTAGCTTTCAATGTCTTGGTTATAAAAGGCATATCCACATAAGTGTGTGTACAGGCTTTCAAATTCCATGGAGCCCTTAGTTGGAGTCAAGAGGTGTGATGTCTGACGATATAGGCAGCTAATTCACTTTGAAAATGATTTATGAACTTTGAAATTCATCAACAGCAGACCCTGCTTTGTTATAGTGATCACGATTTGTTGTTATCACAACGTTAACAGACTAGGAAGTAACACGTGTAAAGACCTGCATTATCAGAATACTATTTCTAGACAGAATGGTTGCGAATTATTCTGGTCGGTTTGAATCTGTTTGTGGAAATTCTACCATTTTCACTGGATGAAAAATATTAAATGATCAAAGGAGAAAAGAAAATTGCTAGTTGAACGATTTGCATTCCATTCAAATCCTCTTTTCGTAGCAACACACCAAAAACAATCCAATGAGTACTCTGAAATTAAGCATCTGATGAAACAAATTCCAGAACAGAGCGCTGTTTCATATCGATGCTGCAGTTGAATCACGATAGTGTTCTCCAGGACATACTGAAATGCACTTTTTGGTATGTCCTTGAGCAATATCAGCAATTCGGTTTCCATATTCTCAATCATTTCAAAACGCCGACCTTCCACGAGTCTCTCTAATCTTGGGAACAGGTAATTTGGTGATTACGGTAGCTGGGGCATGATTTCAGTGTTGTTTCTGGCTGAAACATCACAAACAAGCAAAGACAAGTGATCAGTTGCATTGTCGTGATGCAAAAGTAATGAATAGTTTTACCAACACAGCAGACGTTTCCTTTGTATTGCCTTTGGCAAGCAGCGCATAATTTCAAGATAATACTTCTTATTGACCGTACGACCATGTGGCGAGAACTCCACGGCAATTGAAGAAAACAGTAAGCGAAACCTTGACATTTGATCGTACCTGATGTGCTTTTGCAGTCATGTCTCTCCTGGTCTCTTCCATTGGGATAATTGGACATTAGTTTCAATGTCATAACCCTATACCTATGCTTTCTTACCAGTTATGATACTATCAAGCAAATCTGGATCGCCGTTGTTTGGAAAAGCCTAGAGCGATGCTAATGACAGGTTCTGGTCCGATGAAGCTGCTTGCAGCACCCTCCTTTGCGAGGGAGTCAGCACCCTCTTTGTCTTCCAGGATGGAATCCAGACCAGAGACGAGAAGAGTCATCTTTGGCAATTTGCTACCAAAGTAGACGTTGCTCGGTAAGAGCCAAGAGCTTCCAACGCCGCTTGACTGTCCGAAAAATTGTTATTGACTTGTGTGTGAGGTTGGATTCTTCCAATCTCTTCGCACACATTTCAATAGCGTAAATTTCTGCTTGAAATACAGTCGCATAAGTTCCTAGGCCGGTTGGTTTCTCTGTTCCGAGTCTGCGAATGAACACCGGCACCAGAAATGGAAGGTGTTTTGGATCCATATGTGAACCAACAATTTTCTGCTATGGATTTACTTCTCCCAGAGAATCCAGTCCTCTTTACTGGGGAACAGTTGACAGTTGAAAGTATCAAGTCAGAGGTCATTTCCAGAATGCTGTGACTTCCGGGTCAACCAAGAGTCTGTTGCGACTAACCAGAGAGCAAATGCCTATAAGCATGCTGCACGGTAAGAGTTACAACGAGCTAAACAAAGAGTTGGAAAACGACGCCATAATTCCCATTATGGGGTCGTTTTCCATCGGATGAGATGCTTCCCCAGTATAGCTTCGGAAAAAACTTCAGAGCAATTATAACAGGCATGGAAGAGATGAATTCCAATAAATGCAGAGGTTGCCTGTACACAGACGGCTCAAAAACTGAAGAAGGTGTAGGAGCAGGAATATATATGCAGGCTTTACCAAGAGGCTGAGGAAACCTCCGTACATATACTATGCTATTGCGAAGGTCTGTCAAGGATAAGGTTTGCAACATTAGGAGAGGAAAAACCACAACCCTCTCAATATATGAGGAACTTGAGGTCTGGCCTATGGAGTCTAGTTACAAGGACGGGTCTAGACAAGAAACTGTAGCATACATGAGATCACACACAATAGACCTGCAAAGATCACAGTGTAGTGGCTGTTCAGCAAAAAAGCCCCATATTGATCTAATCTAATCTGAGTGTCTATTGCACACTGCATTTAATTGATTTGTGCAATTGGCAATGTGCACAAATCTATTCTCTAGCCTCTTCCTCCAGAAACATGTGAAGAGGAGCAAGATCTAGAAAGATCCTAATGGTCTCTAACGATCTGGTACTGATGGCATCACTGATGACCAGACAAGCGTATCTCTGTAAGCCAGAGAGCTTCGCCTGAGCCGTTTTCTGTAAATCCTTCTACCACCAGTCAGTTGCACGATAAGTGATCATCGGTCTGACAATAATCACATTCATCCAATAAACTTGTTTGGGACCTAAACCCCAATTTTAACCATAAATCATCCGACGTGTCCATAGGGACATTCTGGCTTTGTGTAAAACTTTCTCCAAGTGAACGTTCCAGTTTTTTATCAAGGACAATGCTAAGATATTTCACCTCCGTTCCAAATGGAATGACCTCACCATTGAGGGAAAGAGTCTTCAAATCGTCCTAAAATCTCCTCCTGGCGACCGATCTACTTCCCGATCTACTTTTCTTTTGTCGAGGCCATCAAGTAGACTAGCCATCAAGAGGGACTACAGAAGGGGATACAGTACCCCATCTTGATCGAATGTACGTAGCCCGTGAAATTTGAACATTTTTCAAATACACTTCACTAGTAATTTTTCATTGATAGGAAACTCCACCGACACTCTTTATTTTTACACTTTGCGATTGTTCGAACTCATAGAACAAAAGCAGCTTATACATTCAAATCTGAAAATTCTTTGGCATTGTGAAAGGTATTTTTTAGGAGAAGGTCTATTAAAGCTTTTTGAATGTATTGTAATTTTCAATGTTTCCTAGTAACCTAGTTGCTTTATTATAACATATGACTCCTTGATAGCCTACCGAGTCTTGCCCAAGGACTAATCGTGAGTAAGGTAGTCTCAGTTCATTTCCTCTGCGAGTATTGTGATCCTGTATCATACTGTTTTTTGTATGCTGTGATTCATTCCTTCTGATATTCATAGTTATGAGCAAAATATATAAAGACGGTAGTGTTAAAATATCAAGATCTTCAAAAACTGTCTTGCATGATTGTCTTCAATGTATGCCAGAAATACATCTAATTATTTATTTTTGGATAACAAACACTTTCGTTAGGTATGCTGAGTTTCCCCAAAATATTAACCTATTTGAGATATTAGATTGTACTAATCCGAAATAGTTCAATTTGAGTACTTCTAGAGACTCTGTTTCATGTAGTTGTCTTATTATGAAGCAGACTCTACTCAGTTTCGTTATTAGATAATCTGTGTGTTTTCGCCAAGTTAACTTCTGATCAATTACTAATCCTAGGTACTTATATTGATTTACCTGCTCTATAGATCTATGATGTATTTTTTTTATTAGTGAACAATGGTCATAAGTAAGGTTATTTTGTTGATAATTCATGAAAACAGTTTTGTTTACATCAACAAGTAGACCGTTATTTGTACACCATTGTGAAAATTCATCAGCAGTTTCAAACTTCGATTATTTTAACTTTACCGATGCGTCATCAATTTATGATCATAGAAATCACACACCCTCTATGTAACATCTCTTTCTATCAACCGCTATGAACAGATGACATATCGTTAACATTTGTATTCTAATCAAAGACTTATGTTATAGTGATGATTAATTAATACTCATAACAGTGGAAAGGGATAACCAGACAGCCGACAGTGTTTTATAATTTACCTACATTTGCCAGACATGATATTGACAGTTGACAGTATCATTGTTTTATGTTATTGGGTATTGTTTTCGTCAGTTTTACAGTGTCTCTGCATCCATGCACGGATGATTTAATGGAAACTCGTTTGTTAATATTAATGTCTACAAATGTTTTGGAAACATTGCAATACCACCGTTTTCGTTAACTTTCACATCTACATAGAAACTAACTTTTGTTGGATCCGATATTTCCATAATTTTGAGAATGTTAATTTATTGTCATTACCTACACGTTATAATTTTCATCGGGATATTAGCCAGTTCATCTTACATTCGCGATTTATTTCATATGCACATCAACGATGACGTATCGGTAAATTTAAAATGATCGAAGTGTATTTTCAGCTTGAACAGAGAGGAGAAGTTCATTTTCTGCTACTATATTATTGTTTTTTGTGGAGATACACATGAATTTTCAATATCACTCATAAATATTATGAAGAGAAGCAGAGCCAATGTTGAGCCTTGTGGAACTCCTAATAAAACAGAAGTTGGGTGTGATTTGATTTCCTCTATTACCACTATTTGCGACCTTTGACATAAATATGATGCTACCCATTCGTTGGCTATTCCTCTTATTCCCATTCTGTACAGTTTCTCAAGTAATGAACTGAGGTCAACTGTATCGAATGTACGGGATAGATCAAAGAATAAATTAATTGAAATTTTCAGAATACTAGTAAATTTGAAGAAGGGTTAAAAAAAGAAGTATCGTCAGCAAAGAAAAAAAAATTTCAGTAGTATGCTGCCAGATATCATTTATATATATGATGAACAATAACGGTCCAAGTACCGAGCCTTGGAGAACTCTATATTTGGTGCTTCCAAAATCAGAAATATTTGTACCTATTTTTACTAGTTGTTAGTTGGGTAGAATGATGATAGTTTGTGAGGTACACTTTTGATGTCGTAACACTCTAACTTAGGCAACAGAAGTTCATGTGAGACACAGTCGAACGCTTCGGACAAATCGCATATAGTGATAATTGCATGATCTCAAGACCCTCGACAATGTCTTCAATGATTCTCAGTAGAGCCCTTAATTGTTAATTTTCCTTCCAAAAACCATATTGGGTGTTT